ATTCATCTGTTCTTACAAATTAAAGGAAGTTTGTACATACCAAAAATCATAATATAAAATAATCTATACTAATTCATTCTTTTTAGATATAACAGAATATAACACTTTAATGATATTTCAATTTTTATAAAATTAGAGTCATAAAATATTGCATGCTGCCTTAGTTACATGACATTGTTTCCTGTATATTTGACTACAGTTTAATATTCTGATGGCTGCATACTATTTGTCTCATTGTTGTTCCAGAATTTATTTAGGAAAACCTGTTTATTATGAGGTCAGGAAATATTCATCATATTTTCTCCTTTAGTTTTAATTTCATTTTAAAATATTTTTGTTAAATAATCTATTTTTTCTTGATTGAAAATAAAAAAATGTTCAATGAGTATGTTGCACACTTGAAACTAATGTAACAGTATATGTCAACTATACTCAAAAAATTAATTAAAAATAAAAGAAACATTCATACCACAAAAAATAAATAAGTAAATAAATAAATAATAAAAACATGGGTGTTGCTGGAGGGAGAGTCTGGGGGGGCAGGGATAAATTGGGTGATGGGCATTAAGGAGGGGACTTCATGTAACATGCACTGGGTGTAATATGCAACTGGCCAATCACTAAATTCTACTTCTGAAACTAATAAAGAAAATAATTAAAATAAAAATAGAAAAATAATCGTCCCAGCAAATAATGCTCTCCCTACTGGTTTGCGATACACTAAATTGTTGCACATAATTGAATCTATTTTTGTGTATTTTTTTCAAAATTTAGTTAATTTTTGGACCAGCAAAATTGTTTTTTTCTTTCTTTTTTTTTTTTAATTTGAGAGTGAGAAGGAGCAGGAATGGGGAGGAGGGGCAGAGGGAGAGGGAGAAGGACTCCCTGCTGATCAGGGAGCCCGACATGGGACTTGATCCCAGCATCCTGGGATCATGACCTGAGCTGAAGGCAGACGCTTAACCAACTGAACAACCCAAGCACCCAATTCTTATTTTTTTTAATTGAGGCAAAAGTCCCATAACATAAAATTAACCATTTGGAAGTGTAAGCTTCAATGACATTTACTACACTCAATGTCGTGAATATCACCCCCATCGAATGCCAAAACATGTTTATCACCTTAGAAGAACTGCCCCTTATTTTTTTTAAATATGGAACGCTTCATGAATTTGTGTGTCATCCTTGCACAGTGACCATGCTAACCTTCTCTGCATCATTTCAGTTTTAGTATATGTGCTACTGAAGCAAGCTTCTTATTTATTAAGCAATCTCTCCCCGTTCTCTCTACCAGCCCTGCCAAGAACCAATGTGCTTCCCATCTCTATGATTTACCTGTTATGGATATTTCATATAAATGGAATCATACAAAAGGTAACTTTTTTATGTCTGGTTTCTTTAACTTAGCATGGTGCTTTAGAGATTTATCCATGTTACAGCATGCATCAAAATTTTATTACTTTTTATGGTTGAATAATATTCCACTGTATAGCTATACCACCCTTTATTTATACATTAGTCTACTGAAAAAAAATTTTAAATTCAATTAGGCAACATATAGTACATCATCAGTTTCAGATGTAGTGTTCAATAGTTTATCAGTTGTGTGTAACACCCTGTGCTCATCACATCAAGTGCCCTCCTTAAATGCCCATCACCCAATTATCCCATCCCCCCACCCACCTCCCCTCCAGCAAGCCTCAGTTTGTTTCCTATAGTTAAGAATTTCTCATGTTTTTTTCTCCTTCTCTGAGACTTCCCAGTTTTCCCTCCCTTCCCCTATGATCCTCTGCACTGTTTCTTATATTAGACATATGAGTGAAACCACATGATAATTATCTTTCCAGTTCCATCTATGTCGATGTAAATGGTAGGTATTCATCCTTTCTGATGGCTGAGTAATATTCTATTGTGTGTGTGTGTGTGTGTGTGTGTGTGTGTGTGTGTATACATACAACATCATCTTTATGAATTCATCTGTTCATGGACATCTCGGCTCTTTCCAGTTTGGCTATTATGGACATTGCTGCTATGAACATTGGGGTGGAGGTATCCCTTCAGATCAATAAATTTGTATCTTTGGGGTAAATACCTAGTAGTGTAATTGCTCCATCATAGGGTAGCTCTATTTTTAACTTCTTCAGGAACCTCATACTGTTTTCCAGAGTGGCTGTACCAGCTTGCATTCCCACCAACAGTGTAAGAGTGTTCCCCTTTCTCCACATCCTCACCAACATTTGTATTTTCCTGTCTTGTTAATTTTAGCCATTCTGAATGGTGTGAGGTGGTATCTCATTGTGGTTTTGATTTGTATTGCCCTGATGCCAAGGGATGTGGAGCATTTTTTCATGTGTCTGTTGGCCATTTGTATGTTTTCTTTGGAGAACTGTCTGTTCTTGTCTTCTGCCCATTTCTTGACTGGATTATTTGGTTTTTGGGTGTTGAGTTTGATAAGTTTTTTACAGATCTTGGATATTAGCCTTTTATCTGATGTCATTTGCAATTCTCTTCTCCCATTCCGTAGGTTGCCTTTTAGTTTTGTTGACTGTTTCCTTTGCTGTCCAGAAACTTTTGATCTTGATGAAGTCCTAATAGTTCATTTTTGCTTTTGTTTTCCTTGCCTTTGGAGACATGTCTACCAAGAAGTTGCTGGAGCCAAGGTCAAAGAGGTTACTGCCTGTGTTCTCCTCTAGGATTTTGAGGGACTCCTGTCTCGCATTTAGGTCTTTCATTCATTTTGAGTTTATCTTTGTGTATGGTGTAAGATAATGGTCCAGTTTCATTCTTCTGCATGTGGCTGTCCAATTTTCCCAGTACCATTTATTGAAGAGACTGTCCTTTTTCCATTGGACATTCTTTCCTACTTTGCCAAAGATTAGTTGAGCATAGAGTTGAGGGTCCATCCATTTCTAGGTTCTCTATTCTATTCCATTGATCTATGTGTTTGTTTTTGTGCAGTACCATACTATCTTGATGATGACAGCTTTGTAATATAGCTTGAAGTCAGGCATTGTGATGCCTCCAGCTTTGGTTTTCTTTTTCAACATTCTCTGGCTATTCGGGGTCTTTTCTGGTTCCATACAAATTTTAGGATTATTTGTTCCAGCTCTGTGAAAAATGTCGATGGTATTTTGATAGGGATTGCACTGAATGTGTAGATTGCGCTGGGTAGAATAGACATTTTAACAATATTTTTTCTTCCAATCCATGGGCATGGGATGTTTTTCCACTTCTTTGTGTCTTCCTCAATTTCTTTCATAAGTGTTCTGTAGGTTTTAGAGTATAGATCCTTTATCTCTTTAGTTAGGTTTATTCCTAGGTGTCTTATGGTTTTCAGTGCAATTGTAAATGGGTTCGATTCCTTAATTTCTCTTTCTTCTGTCTCATTGTTACTGTGGAGATATGCAACTGATTTCTGCACATTGATTTTATATCCTCCCATGTTACTTAATTCTTATATGAGTCCTAGAAATTTTGGGGTAGAGTCTTGGGTTTTCCACATAAAATATCATGTCATCTGCAAAGAGTGAGAGTTTGACTTCTTTGCCAATTTGAATGCCTTTTATTTCTTTTTGTTGTCTGATTGCTGAGGCTAGGACTTCCAGTACTATGCTGAACAACAGTGGTGAGGGTGGGTATCCCTGTCACGTTCCTGACCTTAGGGGAAAAGCTCTCAGTTTTTTCCCATTGAGAATGATATTTGCTGTGGGCTTTTCATAGATGGCTTTTAGGATATTGAAGTATGGTCCCTCTATCCCTACACTGTGGAGAGTTTTAATCAAAGAAGGATGCTGTATTTTGTCAAATGCTTTTTCTGCATCAGTTGAGAGGATACAGTTCTTGTCCTTTCTTTTATTAATGTGATGTATCATGTTGATTGATTTGTGAATGTTGAACCACCCTTGCAGCCCAGGAATAAATCCCACTTGGTCATGGTGAATAATCCTTTTAATGTACTGTTGGATCATACTGGCTAGTATCTGGGTGAGAATTTTGGCATCCCCGTTCATCAGGATATTGGTCTGTAATTCGCCTTTTTGGTGAGGGCTTTGTCTGATTTTGAGATCAAGGTAATGCTGGCCTCTTATAGAACAAGTTTCAAAGTTTTCTACTGAAAAAATTTAAGGTTGTTTCCTCCTTTTGGCTATGGTGAGTACTGATGATATGAACATTTGTATATAAGATTTTGTTTGAACACCTGTTTTGAAATGTTTTCTGTATATACCTCAGAGTGGAACTGCTGTGTCATATGGTAATTCTAGGATTAACTTTTTGAGGAACCACCAAACTGTTTTTCAAAGTGACTAAACCATTTTACATTCCCATCAGCAATGCATGAGGTTTCCAATGTCGAATAAAAGTGAGAAGAGCTAGCATCCTTGTGCTGTTCCTGATCTTAGGTTGAAAAATTTCGGACTTTACCATTAAGTATGATGTCAGTTGAAGGTTTTTCATAAATGTCCTTCATCATGCTTTCTAATCTGTTCTTGTCTGTTTTTTGAGTGTTTTTATCATGAAAAGGTATCAGATTTTGCCACGTTTCCACATTGAGATGTTCACATGGATTTTCCCCCTTCATTTTATTACTGTGGATATATTACACATTGATTATTTTTTTTGTATTTTGAAATACCCTTACACACCTGGGAGAAATGTCACTTGGTCATGACATGTAATTCTATTAATATGGCTAGGTTCAGGTTGCTAGTATTTTGTTGAAGATTCTTGAATCTATAGTCATAAAGCCATTGGTCTACATTTCTTTTTCTTATGATGTTTTTATCTGGCTTTAGTATCAGGATAATGTTGGCCTCATAGAATGGTTGAAAAGTGCTCCTTTCTCTTCTAATTTTTGAAAGAGTTAGAGAAGCATTGGTATTAATTCTTCTTTGAATGTTCAATAGAATTCACCAGTCAAGCCATTTGGTCCTGGGCTTTTTATTTGTTGGGAGATATTTGATTACTGATTTAATCTCTTCACTTTTTACAAATCTGTTAGAATTTCTACTTCTTCCTCAGTCAGTTTTGATAGTTTATGTGTTCCTAGGAATTTGTCTATTTCATCTTGGTTATCTAAATTTGTTGTTCATTGTATTATCAATTATTCATAGTATTATAATCCTTTTTATTTCAGTGAGATCTATAGTAATATCCCCAATTTTTTGATGATTTTCATAATTCAAGTCTTTTTTCTTTGCTGGTCTAGCCAAAGGTTTGTGAATTTGGTTGATCTTTTCAAAGAAACAACTTTTGTTTTCACTGATACTATTTACTTATTTATTTTTTATTCTTGACTTCATTTACTTCTGCATTAATCTTTATAATTTCCTTTCTTTTCACAGCTTTAGCACATTCATTCTTTTCTAGTTCTGTAAGGTATAGAGTTAGGGTACTGGATTTGGGATCTTCTTTTTTAATGTTAACATTTATGTCTATAAAGTGCCCTGCGACCATTACTTTTGCTATATCCCATAAATTCTGGTATACTGTATTTTCATTTTCATTCATTTCAAAGTATCTTCTGTGATTACAGCCTTGATTCACTGAGTTTTTTTGAGCATGTTGTTTAAAATCTACATTCACATGGACTTCCTAGGTTTCTTTCTGTTATTGATTTCTAGTTTCATTCCATTAGGTCAGAAAGGATACTTGGTATGATTTCAGTCTTTTTTATTCTATTGAGATTTGTTATATAGCTTAACATATGATCTATCCTGAATAATGTTCAATGTCAACAAGAAAGGAATGGGTTTTCTACTGCTATTGGGTGGTGTGTACTATATAAGTCTGTTAGGCCTAGATTGTTCTAGTGCTGTTCAAATCTTTTTCATTACTGATCTTTTTTTTTTAGTTCTTTTTTTTTTAAGTTCTTTTTACCATTCTTGAAAGTGAGGATAGAGTGAATTCTCAAACTCTTACTACAGAACTGCATATTTCTTACTTTAATTCTGTCAGTTTACACCTCACGTATTTTGAGGTTGTATTTTGGGTATGTATATAATTTTGATAACTTCTTGATGGAATGGCCCTTTTATCAAGATGTTAAATATTGTTTCTTATAATATGCTTTGACCGAAAGTCTATTTTGTGTTATATTAGTTTAGCTACCCCAGCTCTCTTTTGGTTACTATTTTCATGGAATATATTTTTTATCCTTTTACTTTCAACATAGTGTGTCTCTGGATCTCAAGTGAGTCTCTTATAGACAGCATATAATTGAATCATGTATTTTTATCTATTCTATCACTATCTTTTAACAGTAAAGTTTAATCCATTTAATCCATTTAATCCATTTTCATGAAAAGCAATTACTATTAAGGAAGGACTTACTTCTGCCATTTTGCTATTTGTTTTCTATAATACTTAAATATTTTTCATTTTTAATTTCTCCATAATTGCCTTCTTTGGTGATTAGTTGAATTTTCCTAATGTATTTAGTTTCCTTATTGGATTTATGTTGGTGTTTTTGTTTTATACAATTTTTCCTAGTGGTTCATTGGAGATTATTATTAACACCTTAACTTCATAAAAATTAAGTTTGAATTAAAATCAATGCAGTTTCAGTAGTATTAAAAAAAAAAACACCTCTGTTCCTTTATACTTCTGTTCCCTTCATGTTGTCATTTCTACAAATTACATATTTATCCACTGTGTGCCCATTAATATAGAATTATAACTTTATCCATTTAAAATTATATAGAAAAATAAGAGATGCAAAATAAAAACGCAATCATACTGACTTTTAGATCTATCTTTGTAGCTACCTTATTGTTTTTATTTCTTCATATGGCTTCAAGTTACTGTCTAATGTCCTTTCATCTCTACTTAAAAGACTACCTTCAGGATTTCTGATAGAACAGTCTGCTACAGATGGAGCCCCTCAATTTTTGTTTATCTGGAAATATCTTAATTTCTCCTTTATTTCTGAAGGACACTTCTGCAAGAATCAGAATTCTCGTTTGACACGCTTTTTTTTTTTTTCCTTCCAGCATTTTAAATGTGCCATTCCACTCCTGTGGCCTCCATAATTGCTTTTTTTTTTTTTTTTAAGATTTTATTTTTTACTTGAGAGAGAGAGCACAGAGTGAGAGGCGAAGCAGACTCCCCGCTAAGCAGAGAGCCCAACGCAGGGCTCCATCCCCAGACCCTGAGATCATGACCTGAGCTGGAAGCAGATGCTTAATCCAATGAGCCACCCACATGCTCTTGGCCTCCAAAATTTCTGATGAGAAATTGACTGTCACTTTTATTGAGGATCCCTTACTCATGATGAGTCACTTCTTTCTCACTGCTTTCAAGATACTCTTTGTCCCAGGCTTTCAGTGATTTGACTATAATGTGTGGATCTCTGAGTTTATCCTGCGTAGAGTTCACTGAGTTTTAGAAAATTATAAATTCATGTCTTTCATCAAATTTGGAAATTTTTAGCCAATGTTTCTTCAAATATTCCTTCTCCCCCTTTTTCTCTTCCCTAGTACTCTTGGACTCCCATTATGCATATATTTGTATTTGTGATTACGTCCCTCAGATCTATTAGGCTCTGTTCACTTTACTTCATTCTTTTGTCTTTCTGCTCCTCAGCCTGAATAATTTCAATTGGCCTATTTTTTTTTAAATTTTATTTTATTATGTTATGTTAATCACCATACATTACATCATTAGTTTTTGATGTAGTGTTCCATGATTCATTATTTGCGTATAACACCCAGTGCTCCATTCAATAAGTGCCCTCTTTAATACCCATCACCAGGCTAACCCATCCCCCCTCCCCTCCCCTCTAGAACCCTCAGTTTGTTTCTCAGAGTCCATAGTCTCTCATGGTTCATCTCCCCCTCCGATCCCCCCCCTT